GACATAACCGATTGTATTTATGGGATATTTTGATATAATTCTGTGTGTATTTGTCCATTCAAATGTGTAAGAATGCGAGAAAGAGAGCTCAGTCCAGTGAGAGGCGGCTTTAGTGCGTGCGCTTTGTGTGTGTGTGTGTGCAGCACAGAAAACGAGTTCTATTTCGTCTTCTTGCAGTTGAATCTTTTGAAATCACAATAAATGCGCATACAGAAATTGAGAAACAGAATCGAAATTTAATTTTATAAGAAGTAATTCGATTCCTGACCTTACGCATCTAATCTGATTTCCAAAATTGGAATAGCTTTTCAATTCCCAACCCTCCTACTAAATAGTTTCATTCTTGCATGCAAAAATACCTGTATGGTGACTATGGGGCTATGTAAAATATTTTTTGCAACTTACTAGGTTTATCATTTGTCATTTTTTTCCGATAATGTCGATAATCGTCTGTTACCTGACTGTTGACATCGACATCGCGATACTTACGAGACATCGTCGATATACGATAATATCGTCATATCACCCAGCCCTAGTTCACACAGTGGTACATTTTAAAATTGTCACCTCTGCTGACCTTAGCAATGAGAACCAAAGAGTGACACTAAAGACAGACACACATTGTACTGCCACTGTCATCTTCACATCTGATTATTCAGCAAATTTCTTAAGGAACTAAATAGTATTTTTAGAACTTGGTAACAGTGAACTTAAATCACCAAGCATTTTTAAATTGCTGAATAAACCTGTGAAGGCCACATGACATTATTATTATGACAGTATAATATAATAGGCATTAGTCTTTTACAGTATACTTTTATAGCCTTTATTCATTACATTATGAGAGACAAGCACTAGTGTCGTCCACCAGGAAAGCACTTGGCTGTCGCTTTAAATTCTTGCTTGAACTCTGACAGTGTCATGGTTATATTCACGGACTGTTTATGGAAAATGCATATTTACAGTATGACTTTTTTCTTTATCGTTTATTTGCATTGCAGAATAATGTGTCAGTCATGTGGTGTATTTTTGAAAAAACAGTTACTCACTGGTGACCTTTAACAGTGTGGGAATCTGATAACAGGCCTGTGAGCTCACATGACTTATGAAACTTTAAGTTCTTTTTCAAACGAGATCAAACTGTGGTGCTTGAGTTATGCACAACTTTTTTTAAAGGCTGCAGAAATAAATCCACATATTTCCAGCGTTGTTTATACTCTCTAGTACTTCATTTGTCTGTGTGTTTAATTACAAAATAGTTTTTCATTAGATTCCACTGTTTTTATTGTCTCTTGTTAAATATAGAGAAACCGTATACTAGACTGTGTTTCATCGGACAGTAATGTAGGTGATCTTTTCATATGAATGTGCTAAATAGAATAACGTCTTATGAGCATTAATCTCATTTTATTCATTAAGTGTTCCACAGCATGTTTATTCTGACATATTTAGCTGGATATCATTATGATTATGATAATGTGTTTAAGGAGTTAGTGTTTTGTGTTTTAAGGCCTTGTTCAGACTGTCAGTCCAAATCCTATTTTTGTGCATGTCCGATAAGAATCGGATCATATTTTGGCAAGTGTGAATGGCAAAAAATCTCATGAAATATGATTTTTACAAAACCGTTTCAAGCTATATTGATATGTAGTTTGAAATCCTATTCAAATCACTTTTCTGGAAATTCAGATTGAGATTTAGTGTAGCTTTTCTCACACCGTATAAAGTGTAAACACGTCAGACGTTGTTGGTAGAAAATATGCTGAATGTGTTTGCAGAAATGTATGACACTCTTTTTATGCGAAACACAAGATATTTAAAAAAAAAAAAAAATTTCAGTAAAAAAAATTACATTTTTAGGTAAACTATCCCTTTAAGGGCACTATTGAGAAGTCTCTCTGTGGGATCAGAAAGAGTGAAGAGTGAGAGCGGAGATGACTTCTATAAATATCGCTGTCAGATACACTTTCTCCAGGTAACGTTACCTGAGCGCAGTCAGGTATATCATGACCACATTATACTCCTGAATCAATTGTTATCGTATGTCGTCCAGTTACGTAGCATTGCTGATTAAAGGTTTCATTTTCTTGGTTACGATTCAGACAGATACTCGGATGCAGAGGATTTAGATGGTTTTCTTCAGCTTCATCTGAGCTGCTAAATAAGTCACGGGTGAGAAGAATAGAGTTGATTGGCATTGAATAGCACTGAATAGAGCTGATTGGAGTGATTAGTGGTGGTCTCATGACCCATCATTGTTATTTCAAAAAAGGTCAAAGGAACAGCACTGCATTCGTGGAGACAGTCGGACCAGATTTGTTCATGTGTTTGTTGTCTATGTATTGTGTGCGCTGACCGACTCGCTCTTGCACCCACAGCGTCCTCTGGGGAAGACATCAGTCGTGGCGTATAGCGTCTTCTCTTATCACCGAGTCCAATGGATGCATTGTTTGGCCTGCGTTTCAGACGGAAAGCCTGTGAGCCAAGCGGACACAGGCGCTCCAGCGTGTCACTTGCAGTGAGTAAAGCGCGCCGGCGCTCCAGCGTGGGCCTGCCGTCAGCTGGCCTGGCTCAGAGACGCAGGTCTAGCTCTCAGCTCCAAACCAGCAACGTGCCGACGGGAGGCATTCAACACAGAAGAGGACACTTCACCAGAAGGAGGTCGAGCGGTGCAACAGCCTGCCTGACCCCACGGTTCGCTATCCGACGGAGACAGGCTGCCAAACACCGTAGCATTCACGCCCAGCTCCTGGGCCCATCACTGCTCCTGGCTAGCGTGGTGCAAATGAGTGAAGATCACGAAACTGAGAATAAGAGTGCAGAAGAATACTCCTCTCTCTCTGATAGTGACTGTAGCCAGGAGGAGCACAAGCAAGCAGGGATGGACTTAGAGTCAGAGTCTGATAAGTGTATGACGTGGTTGGCGCATTGTTTGGCCTGCGTTTCAGACGGAAAACCTGTGAGCCAAGCGGACACAGGCGCTCCAGCGTGTCACTTGCAGTGAGTAAAGCGCACCGGCGCTCCAGCGTGGGCCTGCCGTCAGCTGGCCTGGCTCAGAGACGCAGGTCTAGCTCTCAGCTCCAAACCAGCAACGTGCCGACGGGAGTCATTCAACACAGAAGAGGACACTTCACCAGAAGGAGGTCGAGCGGTGCAACAGCCTGCCTGACCCCACGGTTCGCTATCCGACGGAGACAGGCTGCCAAACACCGTAGCATTCACGCCCAGCTCCTGGGCCCATCACTGCTCCTGGCTAGCGTGGTGCAAATGAGTGAAGATCACGAAACTGAGAATAAGAGTGCAGAAGAATACTCCTCTCTCTCTGATAGTGACTGTAGCCAGGAGGAGCACAAGCAAGCAGGGATGGACTTAGAGTCAGAGTCTGATAAGTGTATGACGTGGTTGGCTCAGGGTTTGTTGGCGGGAAAAAGTATTCAGCCCCGCCCCCTCATCCGTGCCCCACGTTGCCTGCGGCGAAACTCCTCACACCTACTTCCTGCTGAGGCCGTTTACCGGAGCCCAGCCTCTTATGGGCTGTATGGCCGTTACCGTAGGACCAGTCAGGCACAGGGTCTGTCTAATGTAGGTGGATTGTGGGCAGGGAGGCGAAATTCTCTTGCAGCTCGAGGATCAGTTGAACTGTACAGGACGAGCTCCCCTTGCTGGACAGATCTCGGTCTTTCACACACACTGCAGGAAACTTACTACAACCCACTGATTGACACATGGAGTGCGTTCCTCTCGTATGTAGAGCCCTAACTACAGCTGTATGTCTTAATATGTGTGTGTTTGTACCAGAAGCTATTTGGACTTTGCTATCACTTTTTGTTGCTGTGGGTATGTGAGAGCATGTCTCTCTTGTCACTTTTGGGGGGAAAAAAAGTTTTTATCAGCACCGCATAATTTCAACCCCAAAGTGAATGACCTTAATGCTAGCCTTAGCACTCCAACAGTAATTCCAATATATGTGATTAGTAAGGAACTTTGTCTCTTGTATTCTTTCAGATAATTTGAAACAATAGTGAACTATTCCTTGAATTGTATATGCAAGAAATATGATTGGTGGAGTTTGAGAGCAGTGGGTTATTTTATGAGTGTCAGTTTGGAGTGCAGCTGAGCTGAACACAAAGTTTCAATGTTTCTGTTTCTCATTTATTTTTACTCTCTACTTTCATTTTTCAAATTGAAATATCTCTCTTCTCCTTTTTTATGGTTTACATGTGACGCACACTGTTAAACAACAGTACTCTGAATGTTTTGTTTTGTTTGACACTTTTACTGTTCTTCTTTGTGTATGTGTAGATCCGGGCTATACATTGAGTTTCTGACTGTTTATCATTTTTGCTTGATGTTTTATGGAACCTTTCTGTTTTGTGTTTGTTTGTAGGAAGGCCATTGCCAAGTCCGGTCTCCAGCACCTCTCATGCCAGCCCAGTGCTGCTGTGTTGGCCAAGGGGGAAACAGACAGAGAAATCCGCAGCACAGTGGACTGGAGTGTGAGTAACACAAACCCAAATAATCTAGACTTCAGATCTCTCTTCTTTGTACTCTTGATAGAGCTACAGTTTCTTTCTCTGGTTTCACATTTAATTTGATGCTTTGTATTTGAGCAGGAATCAGCTCTGTACGGAGAGCACATCTGGTTCGAGACGAATGTCTCTGGGGACTTCTGTTACGTCGGAGAACAGCACTGTTACGCCAAATCCCTGGTGAGTGTGTGTTTGATAGGAATGTCAGTATATGTCCCTCTTTAAAGGGGTCCTATTATGCTCTTTTACAAAGTCTTGATTTTGTTTTAGGGGTGTACTAGAACAGGCTCTCATACTAGGTTGTTCGAAAAACACATTATTTTTCACACATTTTACATTATTACAACACCTCTCTCCCCAGTCTGGCATGAACGGCTCGAATAGTTCTTGTATCAAATGAAGGCCCGCCTTCTGAAATACGAAATGTGCTGTGATTGGTTAGCTGGGCCAGTGTGTGTTGTGATTGGCAGCACTCGGCGCCTGGTCGGGAAATGTCATGCCCCTTACCATAGCCGCCTGCATCTTCAGTGTAAATATTGCATCAAAATCAAATCAATTTGAGTGCGATTTAAACCCGGATGATTGTAACCACTTTAAGTTCGTCTGCCTTGGGAAAGCTAGCGTGTCTCCGACGTAGTGATAACACTCATTGCCTTCTCTAGTGTAGCTCAGCCAGGTCTCGTCCCATTCGTCGATATTTGTGATATATCAAATCCCGGAAAATATGCGTTGTAGTCCAAACGAGTCGTTCGTTGTAGTTTTTAAAAAGTGATTTCTGTTAAATAAAATATCTCCTTTTGAAGTGGACTTTGAGCTTTGTAACTTTGCAGATCTTTTTTATGCTGAAACAGCAACATTACAGACTAACTAAAGTTGAAAAAGTGAAAAAGCATAATAGGACCCCTTTAAGAAAAAGTGAGTAAACAGAGGAGAGTAAATAGTGGGGCGAAAGTGAGATGCAGCAAATTTTAGATTCGAGAGAATAACAGATTGTATAATATACAGCAAAATGGTGATGGAGAATATAGAAATAGATGGAAGGTAAAGGGGGAAAAAGAGAATCTCTCAATTGAACATTTCTCTTTTTCGCTCATATTTTCTCTCTTAGTGTAATGCTGCCCTCTGGTGGCTGGCTTGCAGAATGCATTGCATAATTTCAACTTTCAAATTATGTGCATTAAATCATGATTTAGTTTTTTTTATTGTAAATTTTGTATCAAGTGAAGATCACCTGTCAGAGTAAATCTAATGTCTCTTTTTTCTGGTTTTCACAGCAAAAGTCTGTTGCTCGGAAAAAGTGTGCTGCTTGCAAGATCGTAGTTCACTCCATCTGCATTGAACAGCTGGAAAAGGTGAGTGCCATTACCAGTGGAAACACAAAGGTAGAGTCATGATCTGACACTGCATCAGAGACCATACGTGTTCCTCCCTTCAGTTATTGGACTGGAAAGCTCCGCCTCAAGGGGAGGGGCTTGATGAGGTGCCCCTCAAAGACCCATCATTCAGAGTGAGAAACTCTCTAGCTTTTTCTCAGACTCGGCTGGGGCTAATGGATCACTCACACATCTGATCTTAGTAAAGACTGGTGACTGTCTGGCCTGATAAACCTAGAACAGCCAAATAACAGAATCCTGTTAACATCTGGAGCCACTTTAGCTCTCAGTCCATCCAGCCTGTGAAGGGGGCATTCAAATGTTTTTTTTTTTTTTTTGATAACTTAATTGGTTTGAAGTTAAGACAAAATCTGGTTTAACCATGCAATTCAGAAAGTTTTTTTTGCCAGACATATTCTGTTTCTTATTAGTAGGGGTGCTCCGATCAGGATTTTTGAGGCCGATCATAGAAAGCAGTATCTGCCGATACCGATCACCGATACCGATCTTTTTAAAGCCTTCTTTTTATCATTTATAACTATTTATAGTGATACTCCAATCAGGATTTTTAGACATTTATTCAGGCCTGAATTTCATTTTTGAAAATGGGGGGAATTCCCCTCTTAGGTGACTCTTGTGAAAGGAGAAGCAGCTTTCACACAGGAGTCCGCTACTGATCCGTGGCTGTTTACCACAAACACAACATTTATCCATTATTTTGATTTCAAATCCAAACATTGTCACTGAAAATGCTTTTTCGGCATTGCAATTCTTTTTTTTACACAGTACAGTAATACAATTTTTCACAGACATGTTTAAGCACAATAAATATAAGCAACACATTATTCAATGCTTTTTACTTTTGCAATTACTTCTAGATTTATATATTAAGTTGCTCAAGCAATTAGCAAAACATTTAAACTACTTTTCTTACGTTATCACAAACTTACCATTGACAGAAATAGACAGCTCAACTGCCTTTTCTTTTGCATTTAAATCTTTATTACAAGCAATACTTCGGTTCGTAAAGAACTTTGTTTTCCTACCTCCACGAGTGCATCTATTATTGTATCTAAAATGATTATATAACAGTAGACTTGCATTTATGGTGTAATTACTACATTTTCGTGTCAATCCCTGTTCATATTTACTGCAAACACTGCAAACAAACTTTAATTCAGCGCTTGCAGAGCAGCAAACATAAACTTGGTGTGGAAACGATCTCTGCACTGCTGCAGACGCACCGCTCCTGAACGCACTGCCGGTGTAGTGTCGAAATTTGCACCCTGCCAGATTATGCACCCCCTAGTATTGGTAGGTTTAGGAGTAGG